TCTTATCTCTGAAGTGCATCATACACACTGTTGCTGTTCATAAACCTGGAATTAACCTATTTGAACATTCTTCTGATATTCTTTTTTCGCTCCCCTCGTAATTTCCCTAAGAGTCTTTGGCCGGTAATAATTAACAAAAGAAACCCTTCAAGTGTTGGCTTAATCTAGAAGTCTCTTAATCTAGAAGTCTCTGGCAAATGAAGCGTTTTTGTCCTCCAGAATTACACTTTTTGCTTGAGATAGTCTTTTGCCTATTTCTCAGAGGCACTTCACGTGTTTAACATCTATTCGCTCATGCTTGGATTCGCCTAGGAGCTCCTCCAGTACAACACATTCCCCTACAGCTGAAGTAACTGAGTTTCAAAGAGTTGAACACCCAATTTGTCAAAAGCTCAAAAAACCTCGAGCACTTTGTTCTTTCACCCCCTGGCTAAAGCAAAAAAAAAGCACCAGCCTCCATATGTACAATCTGCATTAGCTGCAAAGGCAGCTTCCAATGGTGAATAAACTTGTCAGAGAGAACTGACAACTTGGGAATCTTTTCCATGGGAAAATTTTACTGAAAGCATGGGGCCAGCAGGTATTTGAGCACGGCAAGGAAGGCTATTCTAGCATGTTTTAGGACTCTTGTGATGTTCCAGACCGCTCTAGCCTAATTCCTAAATAACGATCTTACCAGAATGTCCTGGCATCACAGCCATGGTCTGATCTTTCCTGTTACTCAGTCAGATGATAAAACAGCACAAGAAGTTCTTTGTTTACAAAACTATATTTCTGAGGCAATCAGATATGAAATCAGCATCCCAGTACTGGTGTTGTAAACATTCCTGGCATTTTAAGCACGCACTTTGAACGAATAATGCATTCAAGACTTCCTTTCCTACAAGTACTTGTATGAATTTGCAAATAAGGTATGAATTTATGACCAGTCAGCCAGGCTTGGTGTTGCCCTCATCCATGTTTTTTTTTTTGTACAACGCAGGCGATGACTGCCAAGAAGTTCCACCATCCTGCCCTTTCCACCAGCGTGTTCTCTCCTGCTGGCTAAAGAGCCTGAGCGTGCACTAGCATGATTCCCTTTCTAAACTCCCTACCTCAAGGCACATCAAAGACTTTCAGCCCACTTCATCAGCAAGTTCTAATTCATACCTTGAGCAAGGCTGGAGGACTGCTAAGATAAATCTACGTAGCGATCTATTAATCAGCTGCTCTTAGGAACTTCCATGTATTTTACAAGAGGAATTTGTTTAAGGTATGCTCTTATCTAAGAGCATTTGTAAAGCTTTAGGAGATGACATATTAGATATTTTTAAAAGCTCCCTGATTTTATATGAGCACTTGAGATACGGTAATCTGTGAAATTATTCAGATTTGTAGCTCAGCATAAAGCTGTCTGGTTTTTGGACGGCCCTTTTGATTTACCACCCTGTGGTGAAATCACTGCAGGAGTTTGGAGAAGGTCCAATTCTATTTGTTTAAAGTCCCGATCATGTGGCTTTGGCATTCCTAGCATATCCAGCAATCATTTGCTTTTAATTACCATTCATTTCAACCACATAAGTAATGAATGTGGCTACCGCATCCAACTTACAGGCTGTGTAAACTCTTGAGCGGGGTGGAACTTTCTTCTATATAGAGGCTTAACTATAAATTTAACTCAAAACGTGAATCCTCTTAACTTATTTTAGGCAGGTCTTTATTATAAGTATAAAATAAAAATAAATAAAGAGGAAATGAAAAAAGCCTTAAATGAAAGATTCCACACAATACACCTGATTCACTTCAGAAGTAATTTCCTGGCCTCCCCAACCTCTTGGTATGACTGCAAAAACCTTAAAGAAAAACAAGTTGATTTAACGTTTCTATTTATTCATGGTGTCCAGTTTCCAGAGGAGTCTGTGACTTGTAGTTTTAAACTCAATTTAGCATTTAAACTCATTTTCAGCTGGGTCCCAGTGGAGCAACAATTAGAAAAGGAAAGGAGTTCAAAGAAGAAGGGTTATAACCTTCCAGCAGTATGTTTGCCTGTGCTTTTTTTTTTTTTTTTAAAAAAAAAAAAAAACAAACCAACAAAAAACAGCATATCTGTTACTATTCTTCCTCTATCCAGCAAACACTAAGTCCCACAGTCAGGCTGAGGTCCTGCTGGCGTAGGGAACTTCATGGCTAGGTAAAGGCCAAAACCCAGAAGTCCTTCATATTAGCTGCTCTGAAAGCTCACTTTTAAGGATATTTGTTATTTGTGCCATGCTGAATGTCTACTACCAGCAAGTCCAACTTCTCTCTAAATAAAACAAATTTCACACCGAATTGGAACAAGATGAACCCAACCAAATTATGAAGAGAACCTACGCTGTGGGACACTCAGTCTGTGCTCAACCTTCCTGCGCTTTGCAGCTGAAGGCTCCAGCTGAGACTGTTGTCCCAGCAATCCAGACCCTGAATATAATACCATATATTGCAAAAGCCTACCAGGCTGTGCAAACAAAGGCTTGAGGAGGAACAGAGGTAAAGTAACTCTCAAGAAGTTAGAACTGAACAAAGAGGTCTGAAAGCCAGGACTGGGGCCTCCATTTATGAAACTTCATGAAATTTATGTCATGGAGAGCTGGAATTTTTGTGTATGTTGGTGTACTCAGAGTTAACTTTTGCTTTCTACAGTAACAGCACTTCCTGTAGGCAATAAATAGTACTCTTATGAATGGCAGCCTCAAGATTCAGCCCTGCCAAGAACTGGCTACCAAAAGTCTTATTAGGAAGAACTGCACTTCATGAATATCAATGGATAATTTGGCTTGTATGCCCTTCTACTCCCTCAGCTCTTGTAAACATATAATATGGGAGCCTCCTCTGCGATCCACCCCATGGGTTTTCACTAATTTCAGTGCACACATACCTCAGGACAAGATCTGCCCACCTTGACATGTGGGGCTATGAGCTAAAGGCATACACGGGGGTTCAGAAAGGCCCCCTCCATGCTGCCACAGCTCATTGATTGAGACTGCTTTTACCTTCCACATAATGTCATCCACTGAAGTCAGAATGGATCATATCATGCTTGAGATAACGGGCTTTGTGAGTGTAAGCGAGTTTCAAGTGCTCTCATATCTGTAAAATCTTTTGGTTTATACAGTCAATGTGAGACTTGAGAAACAGACCTCCTTAGGCAAGATTTAACCCTTTTAATTTGAGCGTTACATTTTAGAGGAAATATTATTTTAAAAGCAAAAAGATTCTATCTTTTTCATTCTATGATAGTACAAAAGACAGGCAGGAAAACTGTGACCAGCACCTCCTAAAATTGCTCAGACCTGGACAAAAGTCTTATTTGCATAAAACCAGTTGTACACCTGATTGTTGTGACTGTAATGAAATTACTAACAGGTGGAAATGTGGGCATTTACTGGGTCATCGATCAGTCCCTAACAGGATAACTAAACTTGACCAGACAGATCAGAAAATATAGTTACGTGGGTATACTACATCAAGATTTTTTTCTCTGTTTCACATGGTCAGAAAAAGACATTCCATATTTGCTGAACAGATTTAATGTAGCTGGAGTCAGATAATCTGATCCTACACATTTTTTTTTTAAGGTAGAGATTTAGGAAAGACCTTTCAATCCCAAATGAGCAAAGAGAAAGTAGATGTGTTTATTTGAATTAATTTAAGACAACTAAAACTTCCAAATCCAACATTTGCGATGAGGAATGTTCTGTGGTTCATCTACTGCTGCTAAAACTCTCCATTTTGAGAAGATGTATGTTTATGAACAAGAAGCAGATTCGTCCCATTCCACTTGAAGAAAACTTAATGAAAAAAGTGGCAGCAGTGTTTGTATGGAGACATAGCTGGTTGTGGATTAAAATTATCACCAGGACACACTTTTAAAATAATTAAAGGCAGATCATGTAAAGTCCTGAACTACTGAAATTTGATATTCAGAAGAGGTAGACACAACACAGAGTGGAAGGAGTGGTTTTGAATGGCAGGGAAAGCCAAGGCTTTCCCATCAAAACTCTCCTTTCCCTTGTTGTGTTTCCTGCTATTGCTGATAAGCTTAGTTGCTGTTTGAACCAGTTACACAGTGAGAGGATTAAAAATGGTGATAACTCATTAGCTGGAAGTGATCCTGCAGCAGTCTCTAGCTGGAACAAACTGATAGCAAATGCAGTCTGCAATGTGGTTCCAATTGCTGCGTTCCTTTGAAATGTCACCAGGAAAGATGTACAGACACACCTCCTGCTACAGGCCATCAATGCCTACTCTTCCTGTTTGATTTTTATTTAACTTACCATGAGTTGATCGGTTCCCAGTGAAGCTGAAGGCACTTTGAAACTCCTTCGAAAACTGTATTATCAAATGGACTTAGAGACCCATTCCAAATTCACCTGTTTTTCATTTCATTAATGTGTATGCCTGCTTCTGGATCCACGACCTGCACAGTCCATCCGTTTTTTCCCCTTCTTGCCTCCCCTTCATGTCTCTGCCTTCCAATTTCCTCTTTTTCTCTTCAGATTATGGATCACCCAAATTCCATGTGTCGATACAATCTGATTTCCTCTCCCCCTGATGCTCCTGCAGCTATACAAGCATGCACCGATGCCTGTTTCTCTAGCCCTTTCTCAGTCCTGCATCAAACTTTCTTTCTTCTCTTCTGCTAGCCTTCAACCATAGTCCCAGCCAGCAACTCCAGTCACCTCTGCAAGAGGTCTTTGATACCATCTTCAGACTCACAGTAGCCTTTATTGGCCTTAGCTCATCAGACTACCTTTCATGCATTTGATGCAGTCTCATAAACCACAAAAGAGGAACTACTTTCCTGAAATATACTCTGTGATTTTTTTGTAAGTGACTGCATCATCTGAAAAGCCACCATCCATTTCTTATTTTAGAACATCTGCATTTTAGATTACACTAGAGAGCACTGATTCAGAGGAGCTGAATAATGTGAGCTTTGTCACTAGTAACTTAATAAGATGCCATACACACATACATACCTTAGCATTTTGAAGAGGAGGTTGGTAACTGGAAGGTCGGTAATACCTCCTCTGGGTTGCATCAGTGTGAATATCTCCAAGAAATAGCTCCTCCACGAGGTGATCTAAATTGTGATGCAGATACTGCTTCTCCACGCGGATCAGCTGGAGTTCATGCATGGCAAAATTCAGAGCCTTGGTGCATTCACAGCCATTCTCTTCTCTGAGCAAATCATAGCTCACATCCTGTTCCCAGGGACTATCTTCTGGTATAAATCCAGGACATGTATTGTTGACCAACTCACTTAATTTTTTGGCTACTGCTTCATTGTGGCTTATGATCTGTATGTTGCGTAGCTGATAATCAGCTTCAGTACCCCCTCGGATGATCCAGGATGCTTGGCGGAGACGAATTTTGCCACGTATAACTAATGTGTAGATAGGGTTAGTGCAGCGATTGCCACCATAGTAAAACTGATAGGCTTTAAATGTATTATTGTGATAGAATCTATAAGATCTTGTGATGAACTCTGGGCCTGCTCTGACTTCACAGCTGTGGGAAGACAGAAACAAAATTTTAGCAAGGTGGCACATCATGTACAGTACAGGTGACAAGAATGAGCAACACTGCATGGGCCCAGAGATATCTGGGTACTCATGTCCCTCCGAAATGAAGTAAATAGGAACTAGGTACTATCATCTGCCAATTCACCAAGAATTTCCTCTGCTATCACAGTAATATACCTAAGGTTTTACTTTCTGTAGACTTAAATACTTTGAGTCATATTTCACTTTTCCTTTTTGTCTAAGGACTACCATGTGACTAATTTTATGAAAAAAGTCACAGATTATTAAACATCTATTCTTCTCTTCATGGTAGATTTAGCAAAAGCACTGATAACATCAGAAAGTGAAATGCTGAATATCCACAGAACAGGTCAGGGAACTGGCTTCTGCAACTGCCAAAGCCCAAGATTCTCCTACTACAACTCACTTGAAATATATGGGCAACTACTGCCTGCTGAAACATTGAAGCAAAATAGCTCTCTGAATTAAAAGTTATCATGTATGGGGAGGAAAAGAACTGGTGAAATACAGCTTCTTAATTTCTTTTGCTAAGAAAACTAGCTTGTGCTAGACAAACACTCTGAAAATAAGGATCCATTCAACGGATCTAATGCATGCAGTCTAATATGGTATAATGTTACATTTGAATAAGTATTTTGGCTACTTGATGGTCTCTCTTCTATTCAGAAAGAGATTTAAAGATATTTCACAGTTGCTGTTTAAAATCCAGACTACACATTGATTCATCAAGACAGCTTTATAGTATGCTATTCCTATATACATAACACAGGTCCTTCTTTTATACATAAACTTATTATAAAGCATTTGGAATTTGAAGTATCACCATATTAAAGAAATTAGTTCCTCTGCTTGTTATATATGTCCATCTATCTATTTATCCATCTATATAAAATATATAAAAACTTTCATCCTTCCTTCTTCATTTCCTTCTCCTTTTCCTCTTTCACATTCACCACTCAAGCATCTCGTTTGAGCTTTCCTTACCCGGTAGAGACCCAGTGTCCCTCTATATTGGGAGGCATTTGCACAGTGATGCGGGCCCCATTGTGGAGGTGTTTCAGCATGTGATGACACTGTGACTCCTTGAAAGCCCTCCATGCACTCTTCTCCAAGGAGCGGGGGTGGGACCTGCTGTCCGGATGAAGAAGAGCAGAGCCTTCTCCCAGCCCTGCAACAGAAAAGCAGAAATTATCCAGTGATCCCAGTAAGAGAGCCTTCAACACGATAAAGGTGGTTGTGAACATCTTGTGTTGAATGACACTTGTTCACAACGTTATGTGTCTGGGAAAGAAGAGGTTACATTTCTTGTCTCATTTGAAAAATAAAAAAAATATGCAATGCTCTTCTTCTCTGTAACTCCACAAAGGCTTGAACCTAAGTGCTGCATTTCTACACCCAGTGATGTGGCTCTAGAGCTAAATTTTACAGACACCTCTTTAATCTCTGGTCAGGACAATAAGAAATCCGGGCCTTGGAATTCCCAGAAAGTTGCATCCAGATCCGGACATAAACTGTGGTTTCAGCCCCCCTCTAATTTGGACGCTTCTATACTAAACTTGCAAACAAAGACTACTCTTGAAAGCCAAGGGAAAAACAGATCTTAAAAGCAAAGCCTCTGCACACAGGAAGCCTCTTTGATGACTGAGGTGGTCAATTAGAGGCAGATCCTGCTATTTTTATTTTAAAGGAGAAAAGGAATTTCAAAAGCTAATTTTGTCTCCATCACACAGTAATTTTGGTTTCTAGTAATGTATACATACAAAACCCACCAGCGATCTTTTTACACAATATTAATTGGACAAAATGAATACGTAGCTTCAGGAGGAATGTGTCTTTACTCTTTTAGGCACCAAGTGCTCTTAGATATGTTGGAAAACATGGATCAAAAGAAAAGCGTGGATCTAGAGGTTAAGAGATGAAAAACATGAACCTTACATAACGGGTGGGAAACTGTTAATACTTTATCAAAAGGAATTTAAGAACCTCTGGGCTAGGAAAAGAATATGGGGTGTGCCCTGGAAGCCAGTCTGGCTGTCTGGGGAGAGGGAAGCTTCAATGACATGTGCTCCCAGGGGTAAGGGTTAGGGTTTGCCCTGTCTTTTTTGATGACTTTCCTGCCCAACTTGGCTCTGGAACTGGGCTCTTTTGTATCACTCACCCTATGCGGTCCAAACCATCAAACTAGACCCTGCTCTGTAGTCCCCAAGTCAGACATCAAAATATAAGGCATAAAGAGCAGCCTCTAAATGTAAGGTCTGTCATTCAGGCTGGTGTTAAGGCTGTGCACAGTCCCACAGTGCACAGTACTGCTGCAGAACTTACAAGAAAATCAGCATTATTCATTTTTAGATAAGACGCCGTTTCCAAGTTTTGCCATTTCCTATTGCTAAAAGAAAACTGTGTCACTGACTCATGATGTTGACTAAGTCTCATGTCTTCTGGAATAAACCTAGGTTAACACCTGGGAAAATGGCATTGCTAGAAATACAAATACATGTCACCCATTTAAGAAGAGCAATTTCTACGCTGAACAAAGGCAAGGAGTTTTCTAGTAGGTAGAGTAAAGAGTGATCAGAAACATGACTATAAATACTTGAAAAATAATGTAAACAGTACTTATCACAGAACGATCTTGAGATTTAATGAGATTAATGGATACAACTTCACAGTCTTTATTAGCAGATCCAGCAGCTCTGTTGCAGTTTACCACTAATTCTTCCTTCTGAATTTATGACCTTCCTTTCTAAAGGGTAATAAATACGAGAGATGCTTTGATATCAGAGCATGCCATCTGAGATGCACTTAAAGGACTTTCAGAGGGTCAGTACTTCTTTCTTTCTGAAAGCCAGTCTTCTCAGGCCTTTTTGCAATGCTGAGCAGTCTCTCTTGTGCATCAAACAGTTGTTCTAAAGCAAGAAATGGCAGGGTCACTTCCAAAGCAGTATGACCATACCAGGACGATGCTCTCCCAAATCCAACAATCTTTTGAGAGGCAGGATTTAGTAGATAAGTCTTTCATCAGTCTTTCATGGACATAGCCTCTTGGCCCTAAGCCAGCGTCTCTTGGCAGCCTAGCTCACCTGGAACAGAACTCAGCTCTCAAAAACTTAAGCTTATCAGGTCTATCTGAAACCTTGTGGGCATGGGCTTGATGTCACAGGCCCTCATGCTGCCAGAAGAACAAGTTCAGCCAGGTCCAGTGAAATTTACCATACACCTATTTCTGTTGTTGTGAACCACTGCTAATGTTTCAGACCTTCTCCTTTAGTGAGTTTTCCCATCCTTACATCTCTACATGCTCAAAAAATTCAGCACATTCTCTTTAGTGGAGTGCTTCTGCCCATGGCTCTTTTGTGTCAGAAAGGGTACCGCCTGCAAGCTACCTGCTGGATTCTGGAGCTGTTGCTACTCTTTCAACAGCAACACAGCTATCAGGATGTCTTCTGCAAAAAAATTATCTCACACTGAAAAAACCTTTGAAAATTTACATTTTTGCCTGGAGTTGTTAAGCATTTGAAATCTGCCATTAAGAGGAGGCTTTGAAATGGTTCAAATGATTTTTTCCAAGGCACAAGTATCAATCACGCACTTTGCTTTTAGGCTGTTGTGCTTTTCACAACACGTCATATGATTCATGAATACAGATGCACTTGAAAATGAATGATTTATTCATTTAAACATATTTGGGCATTTAATTTCTGCAAGCAGAATCCTCCTGCAGAAGGATACCATCTTGTATGTGTACATAGCAAAAGAGAAGATGTGGTAACCACATTGTACATTGCCAATTATTGCCTGGAGGAAATAATGAAAAGAGGGGTTTTTGAAAAGGAGTCAAACTTTCTGTGACACTATGCAGTGTCTTTTTGATATTGCTTAAAAGTAAGCTGGCCTCTAGCCCTCCCTGGAAGTACAGCTGGATGTAGTTCTATCTTGCAAACAACAAACTGTACCCAGTGGATGGGAGATTTGCATTGTCAGCCACAGAGATCTGTATCTGAGAAGCGAGTATGTGCTCAGGATTCATCCATCAAAATGTGACAAATGATGATGGGAAGAAGCTTGAGTCAAGACAGGCATGAGAACATAAGAAAGACTGTAGAGATTGAGGAAGAGATGTAGAAGACATACACATGCCAGGCAACATCCCATACATTGGACCTGACTGTCAGAATACAGGTTATGGTGTAAGATTAAAAGGCAATGATGGGACCCTTACCTTGCTCACTACATTTTTCAATGTTTGTGTTGCTGACGTAAGGAAATATTTAATTTAGCAGAGCCTTCTTCCTCACTGAGTCATGATTTCAACACTTTTGTTTATAACTACATATGCTTATATGGCTTCCAGTCAAAGGTGCCCTAATTTCACTTGTGTTACCTAAAAATCCCTCACAAAGACTGGTGATGTACTTTCTGTGCAGGGCATGAAGCCGAACACTGTCTCCTATGCGTTTCTACACTGTGGATAATTCAAAGCAGCACAGAATCCCCTGCTCCCCTTTGGCAGTGCACAGTGAAGTGTTCTGCAAAACTGAGGCCTCGTGGGGATGATGGCATTCATTGTAGAAGATCTATTTGGCGATGTTCAAAATTGGACGTTGCTGAAAGGCTTAAGATTAAAACGTGCTTTCACAAAACCGGGAAAAGAATTTAACGGCTCTTAAAAGCCCACTTTGGAACCCAAGCATGGTTGCAACATACTTGGAGCCACAACTTTCATTCAGAGGGATCCAGCTCTGCTATTCCCTATAGCATAGACAGATGATAGGCTTCAAAACCTTCATGATAAGCCACATATTTCAAACTCAAGGTCTGACATTTTTAATTTTTTTTATGTGAAATGAAGGAATCTTGCACATTCACAGAAGACAGTCCACCATCTAATCATTCAAAAGAGTGACAGACTTAAAACCCATTCCTTGCTTGGTGCTAATGGCAGCATTTTTGTGAAGCCCCTAGTTAACACTTCCTGTAGCTACACCATGACCACAGGCCATAAGATTGTATCAGCCTCCCCATGGTGGCTGCCTATTCACAGCAGCAAGTCCAAAAGAAAAAAGAAAATTCCAGAGCCTCCTAGAAAAGCAAAACAAAGAACAACAAATGCATTTTTGATGCACTGATAACCAACTTCACTTTCATAATCGAGACCTAGCAGCATAGATCACAATACAGCTTTAGCACCAAAGTCTGAATCGAAGACAGTACACAAGGTGCTGCAGCTCCATCTCCCAGCTGGGAATCCCCTTCAATGCCCCACAGATCAAGTGTTAGAGAGGTAGAGCCAACAAGCATCAGAGTGGGAAAGCGAAGTGTGGGCAGCTGCCAGGTGAGAATGCATAGCTGGCAGCAGCCACTGCACCAGGTGCTGATAAGGCGGGGGCTTCAAGCTCTGGGGTTCACCCATAAGCCTGTATCTGATGTGGGAACAACCACTGCAGATAAAAATAATTGGAAGGTAAGATGGGTTACTTTCAAGTTCTTCAAAGATTTCTGCACATAGCTGCGAGTAAAATACCAATCTCGAAAGGGTGATCTGCTGGCAGTGGTTCCCCAAACGTGTTTCAGAAGTTGCTTACAAAAAGCTCTTCACAAATATTTCTGCGAAAAAACGTGAGTTGCTGTACTCAATGGCTCAGTTTTTGGAAAAATAGTATGCAAACAATGTACAATTGCGCCATTGATAATAGTAAGTAATGTTGTGCTTGAACACAAATTCTAATCTTTTAATTCATATCTAGACACCACGGGCAAATTCTGTTCTCAGCTTTGCAAGATTGCAGAAGTATAGCTTGAATAATCTTAAAGGTTAAACTTTTAGATTTAAATCAGTTTAATTAACAAACTCCTCTATCAGAATGGAAACCACAGCTTCAAATATGGCCAAATGGAGCACTTCAAAACATGGGCTCCTAGCTACTACACCTTCACCTTCACTTCACTTACTCACCTTTGGCTCAACGGGAGGATAAACATTAACAAAAAGTAGGACTAAAAACTGGATTTAGATTGGGATTGCTCAGGATGAACCACTTGGACTTTCAATTTACAGCCCTGTAAAGTCTAGAAAAGCACCATTCTGCTACAAATTAAAACAATCTCAAGTGGTAGTCCAAGTACAAAATACACAGTGCCATTTGAACATACAGGTTGCAGCTCTGCTCCAACCCCTTTTCAAGTTCGAACTTGTTTGAAACATTAAAAACTTTACCACAGATAAAGGATAATTGGCAGGATTAAGTTTATAGCTCTCCTTATCTGGGCAGTCGCCCTGCACAATTAAATAAATACACATTTGGATTACTCTCTTTCTTGATGTGGCAGAATGCTAGATAGTGCTCGTGACAGGCCTTCAGCTGCAGTGCAAACTTGTGTAATTGCAGTGGGGAATATAATGTCCTGTTACCAAGCCTCTGACTGTGTTTACCAGTGTTTTCTCTGTGCTCAGAACTTCAAATGGTCCTCTCACAGGATCAGGACCTAAATTAGCTGCTGAGAACAAAGGGGCTGGGAAAGGAAAGCTGAATTTCCTGGTCATAAAAGCAGACAAGACAATGACTTCCCTTAACAGGTATCCGCTGATGTTCCTGTGCACGCAGGGCTTGCAGGCACAGCTGCCAAAGAGCCTCGTGCCCTCACGGTGGGAAAGAAGCACTGCACAGCATGAAAGAGCCTGGAGGGAGATAAAATGTCCTTAGATGGCAGAGCTAGAATGAAGCTCCTCAAGGCTAGCTGCCTCCAGCTTAGACTCGCTGCTCTCTTACAGCCCTGTCTTTGCTTGGAGGAGATCAAAGGACCCAGCAGCTACGTAGCAGGGAAGCTCTGCTAAGCGCGAGCCTGGCTGTCAATTCAGATCCCTGCAGCTCCCAACGCCAAGAGTAAAGCCACCTCTGCCCGGTGGACATGCTTTCCTCCAGAGCCACAAAGGGTTAATTAAAGCCCACCTTCACGCGGGGCAGCCCTGTGCCGAAGTGCAATCTAATCTCGACAGTAGTGGGGTCTCGCCCCCTTTGAAGCCAACATCTGGTCTCCATCACGGACATCTGCACGCTGCCGTGCGGCTGTTTGTTCAGGTGGGCCTTGCGTCCGCGCAAGGAGCGCTAACCAGCTTGCCATGGGCCACCGCACCCTCCAGCAGCCCTACTTAGAGCACTGCATCCATAAATGAAACACTAGCGTTCGAAACTCCTGGGCATACTTGCCATCTGCATGCTGGGTGCCAGTTCAGGGCTCCATCGCTCATCAGCCTGTCTCCTACACACACACTACAGAGCGCAAAGATTGCTCACCACCACCATCTCCTCCCACTGCAAGCCCACAGCCAAGCCACAGAAGATGGGTGAAATCAAATTTACGCTGATGAAATTGTGAATAAAACTTAATCTCTCTCTCCCTGCAAACTCCCCCCTTTATTCTTTTATTCATTGTCTTCCAGATTGCCAAATGAAGAGGGAACAGATCTCATAGTCTCCAGCACGGACTGCAATTCTGGTCCATTTTACAGACATGGGTATTTACATTTCCATAAACAGGTTTTGAAATTAAACACTAATTTAAACGATACTGCCAGTGAACTTTTAAAAGCATAAACAGTTTTGCTCTGAAAAGCCCAGCAGTCCTGTCTTCATCTTTATTAGGGCTATTTCCATGATGTTATCGACAAATTGTTTTAGTTAGGGTTTCTAATTTACTATTCTAGCAGTAACGTAATCAGAAATAAGCTAAAGTTTCTTCTTAGCATCTGTACTTGTTAAAAAAAAAGTTTACGTTTCCAAAAGAAATTAGCCAAATTTGTTTTGAACCCTCTTGGAGGTGACTCTTATTAATCAGGTTTTCTGGAGTTGAACAATCTTAGCTTTTGACATCTGAAACTTCTGTGGCTTTCTCTCTAAGCAAAGAAAACAGTGATAATGGACAACTTCCAGCTGCAAACCTCTTATGATATTGCACAGGTTTTATTTTGACTAAGGAACACAAGTTTTTCCAAATAGTAATTCAGCAGTGTTAAAGTAGGCATTTCTTAACATAATGAAAGCATAAGCTTTAGTCTTACAGGACATTCTAACTTGCTTTATAAAGCTTTAAACCCTAAATACACACACACCCTTCTCGCTCACTTTTAACCCTTAATTTGCTAGGTGCAATAGAAATGTTGAAGACTACATGACATGGTGTAAAGAGACTTAGCGCTGCAATCCCCTGAGACTGCCTGTTGTTCTTACACATCACCAGCTCAGGCTGGCCACTGGCTGAAGGATGCTCCTACTGACTCCACGGCACACACAGAAAGCTCCAGGCAAAGTTAAAGCTAACAAGGTAAGTGCATACAGACTAGCTGAACTTCAGTCCACTGTATGACACCAATGGCATTTTCAAGCTTTTAAGGGTGGCAACTTCCCCACGCTTGACGCTCAGATCCCAACTGTGAACTGCAACTTTGCTGAGGTGTAGATGTTTACACACAAGCCACTGAGCTGCATCACTCTGCAAGAATATAGGTATACTTTCTTTGTTGAAACATAACCACAGATGGAAAAAATAGACTATTTTCCTACTTCATGCTCTTTTGGCAGCTGCTGTTTTGATCTGATCATCAGCCTTGATTTGTTTCCCGCTCCAGCCAGGGTTCAGCACTGCTCTGTAATTCCAAGCAGATGAGCCGGGGAGTCCAACCCTGTAATTACACCTCCTCTCCTTACCCTCTAACTCCAAGCCTTCCATTTTCACTCTTACATCTCGGATCACAAGAGTTTTAAGAAACACCTTTGGCGTCCCAGCGGGTCTGGCTTAACTAAACACATTTCTGCTCTCTCTGGATTTCATTGCTGAGCTGTGAGAAGGGTATAAAGCCCCCTCCTGGGGAACAAGGTCTTTCGCTCTTTGTCTCTCGAAACAAAATACACAATCAGAAGTCCATGCTCTTTATTATTTATTGAATACCATCTGTGTGCTTAGCACTTGTACAAACACAGAGAGAGGCAATCCCCGCTCCACAAAATCAATCCCAGGAATAGCTCTGAAACCCTTATCCCCGCTCACAGATCTCACCCTGAATCCATGTAGGTTGCTTGCATTCTAACAGCTAAAGCAAATTCCTCTTTTTACAAGCCACCTCAGGGTCCTAGGAAATTTAACTGAAGAAGTCTGGATGCTACAAAGTACTCTCGAGTTAAGAATGTGCTTCAAAACGATGCTGTGACTTGAGGAGCTTGAGTCACTCTTGGAGAACGATATCTCGCCTGGATTTCTCAAATCTGGCTGCCAAATGTTAGACATGCCGAAGCAGCTAATTAAATAGCCTCCCTTTCAGAAGTGGCTCTTGAAGAACATCGGCAATCTAGACAAACAAGCTGGATGTACGCACTGCACGCAGCACACAGAAGTTTAAATACATTAGGCACCAAACTTTTGCCTGCCAGGGGTTTGGAGACACGTCAGTCCATGGCTCAGCAGAACAGCGGGCAGTGTAACCCCGAGCCCTCGGCGCCCTACGCCGGCAAACTCCGCAGCAATCAGCTCCCGGCCACAAGCCTCCTCCTCGGCCGCAGATGAGGCACGGTCCGCCAGGTCGGATCTTCTCCTGGCAACGCCCATCGCCGTGCCAGCTGCCCATCCAGCCGCTCCGTCCCAAAGCCACGGGCACGCAAGGTGCGCAGCCGAGCAGGACAGAAGCACGGCCGCTCGCCCTACGGCTTCGCCACGCGCCGCTGCTCCGAAGTTTTGGTCACCCCCGCGGCGAAGCGGGCGAGCTCCGCGAGGCTGCGCTCCTACCCCTCAGCCGGACCCACGCCGCAGGACGAGAGCACCACCCGCGCCCCGTCCCCACCCGAGGAACCGCCGGGCTCCCCGCACTCACCGTGCAGCAGCAGGGCCGGGAACAGGTACCGCATCAGGCTGCCGTACGGGACGGACATCTCCGCGCTCCGTGCCGGGGCCGCCACCACGCACAGCGGGCCGTGCCGCGCTCAGCGCCGGGCCGGGCAGCCCATGGCCGGCGCTAGGGGGCGGGCGGCTGGCGGGGCGGCAGCGCGGCCGGGGCGCACCGCCTCTCCTTCGGGAAGCCGTCCCTCGCTCCTGAGTTCGGGCTCCGCTCGCCGCGTCCTCACCCGTATCCACGAAGCGCGGCGGCGGCTCCGCTTCATATTTCCCCTTCCAGCGGGAGGAGGAGGGGTCGGGAGGTGGGGACTCCCGCGCTGCCGCCGCCGGGAGGAGAGGAGGGCGGGCTGGTGGGGCGGCCCGTGGGGTGTCCGCCGCCGGGCGGGGGCGGGTCGGGGCGGGGAGGGTACGTGCGGGGGGCTGGACGGTGTTGGGGCGGTCCGAGAGGTTCTCGGCAGGTACGGTGCGGCTGTGGGAAGGGGGACAGAGCTCGAAGAGTGGAATCGTTTTGGCCGCGGTTCTCCATATACATTAGACGTTTTAAAGAACAGGCGTCTGAGTTGCCGCCTTTGATGTTGCACTCTGTGCGTTTTCCCATGGCCGTAGAATCACAGCACATCTTGAGTCGGAAGGGACCCACAAGGACCATCGAATCCAACTCCCATCCTAACCCTGTGCCTGAGAGCAGTGTCCAAACGCTCCTTGAACCCTGGCACTTGGGGCCATGACCACTGTGCAGCCCGTTCCATGCCCACCGCCCTGTGGTGCAGCAGCTGTCCCTAACCCCCAGCTGCCCTCCCCTGACACAGCTCCATGCCGTTCCCTCGGACCCCGTCGCTGTCACACAGAGCAGAGCTCAGCGCTGCCCCTCCGCTCCCTGTGAGGAGCTGCAGGCGCCATCAGGCCTCCCCTCAGCTCCTCTGCTCTGTGCTGAGCACACCCAGGGGCCTCAGTCACCCCGAGTCTAACGTCCTTGTCATGCAAACACATGTTCTTAAGTGTTGTACGTGCTAACAACTTGTGCCTGAGCTTGAACGCGGGGTTTTATTTTATACAGCCCGCTGTTCACAAACATTGTATTTTCTAGTTTTTGTTTGCGTCCATGGGCTCAGCTGTAGTGTCCCATTACAAAGAACGTGTAACAAATTGGAAAATTTTGAGAAAAATCAATGTAACAGAGTTTTGAATGGTTTAAGCTGAAGTGTTTACACGCTAAGTGATTAAAAAGAAATACAGACAACAATGACTCTTTCCAGCTCCCTTGAGAAGGAATAATAAATTTAATCTTCCTTGCTTATACAGAGAGGAAGCTGAGATAGAAACAAGTAGTAGTGAGTCAGAATGCAAGCTCTGGTGCTTTGGATTCCCAGAGTTACACTTGTTCCTTCAAACAAATGTTTTTCAGGTCAGAAGGGACAGCTTACAGAGCACCTGGTGGTGGTCTTTACATACAGGTCAATGACCTGGTGAGAGATGCACAAAGGAGAATAATCTCCTTCACAAAACAGGTGCCCCGGAATGCAAGTGAAGCTGGTTATGGCCGTGAAAATACCTTTCCCCAATGTTTCTTGCTTATCTTCAACCCATTCCTGCAGCTGCCACAGAAGTGTTTGTCAGCTGTGTGTATGAAGGAACAATTCATGCTGTAGACCTAATGCAGTTGGAAAAATTGTTTGTGTACTTGGCTGTTTTTAAGAGAGGATCAAGATTAACCCTGGACAATTAATTTTGCTGCCTGTAACAATCTGATAGTGGCGGAGACATCAAAGTAGATTATCTTCACCTGCAGGTTCTGAAAGGGGAAACAGATCCAGTAGCCAAGGAAGACAGGTGATGTTCACTTAGATGCAGTACAAGCATCTGCATTTATGAGTCTTGGGGTCTCTTGAAGCACATCATGTATATGGATGCTAGTTGCGTCTGCTAACAGAAGATTTTGCCAGAATGAAGGGTGAGATAATGCTGGGCTGCCAACCAGTAATACCAGGACATGAGTACATGGCAACACATGGTGCTGGAACACGCTGCCCAAAGAAGTTGTGAAGGTGTTCAAAGTCAGGATGGATGGGGACCAGGGCATCTATTGTCTGATTTGGTAGGTGGCAACCCTGCCCACAGCAGGGGGGTTGGAACTACATGATCTTTGAGGTCCCTTCCAACTCAAGCCATTCTATGATTCTGTGACATGTGGAAGGTAGTGCACATGGGAAAGTGAGCCATCCCATGGGTGGACTGAGCAGTGAATGGCTTTAGGGAGGTCTTGCCTATTGAGAAGCAGCCAGCTCAAAGAGTCTTACTTGTTTGGCAGCTGTGTAGGAAGGCTCTCTTTATGTAAGCCCTATGCTAATGCTAGTTGTTAGGTGTATGACCCTTCAAAACCCTGTTCCTGTAGGGTCCCTCGATGTATCTAGCCTACCACCTCACCTGAGGAAGCAGCAAGTCAGAAGGAGATAACACAAATGTCCACCCAGGATGTAAGAGGTAGCCGATGCCGCTGTGAACAGTAATGAACAGTGCGCAGTATTGAACTGTAATTATATCAAAGTAGCAACATCCTGAAGGGGAGGCTTTTTTCTTGTGAACATAACCTATTCCACCATCTTTGAATCAAGCAACAAAATGATGTGCAGGATGAGCCTGCGAAAAATCATCTCTCCAAGAAGTGTGAGATTTGTCCCCTGGGAAGGGACATCCCCCCCAGCAGCATCACTAACAGCTTCTCATAAGCAGAAAGGGGAATAACTTTACTGCTCCACCAGCCAACTTTGTAAATTAGGCTCCGCTTGTGATTTACTATCAGCACGGCTTCAGATGTGGTAATGAAATGAAATGAAATCAATACCCAGTGGACCCAGGCATGGCAGAACTTTCCAAAAACAACACAGACTATACTTTGTCTTTTACTCGCCTTTTTTTATTTTCTGATATTTTAAGGACATGGGATTTTTCAAACTGATGGACAATATTTTTTTGATAGTGTGCCCAGCTTACTCCTACTTGTTTCATTACTGTGCCCCTGTTCTGCATTTACTGTTGCTGTAACAGGAAGCAGTGACAAATAACAGCTCCTTGCACTTTGATCTAAGCAGCATGTCACATCCATGCCCATTAAAAATTATATTAACCAATCCAACCATGACTTTGTGAACTTGGGCTCCTGGGGTAGGGTCTGTGCTTAATGTGGGTATAAAGTAATATCGTTTACAAAGACATCTCAGCCATACTGACAGTTGGACTAAACGATCTTAAAGGTCTTTTCTAATCTTAATGATTCTGTGATTCTATATTCTCAAAAATAACATAGGGGCAAAAGCATTTTAAAAAGGAAGTCAGCAGAAAATGGGCGGAAAGTGGTCATTTAGGAAACTAACCTGATGGAAAATGTACTTTGGGGCTGAGGCTCTCTACGAAAGTATTAAAATAGAAAGAAAACTAATTTGTCAGGTTTGTTGCATGACACTTAAAAGACCTAGGCATATCAGCATGGTGCTTGTCTAGCTAAGGCGCAGGCTGATTAGCTGACAGTCAATGCCAGTCTTCTGGTGAAAGACATTTAAAGGAGAGACATGATGGGAAAGAGTGGGGGCCACGAGCATATGGGATGCTTTATGCTATGGAGAAAAATGGAATGGGGTAGCACTCTTTCACTCTGTAATGCTTTGGCAGTGCCACAGCTGTGATTAGCTGATGGCTAAATTGTTATCTTTTTTAAAAGACAGTATGTTCTTTTGAATGTGGCAAAGGAGTGGGATGTAAAGATTTATTGGAAAAGAGTGGAGTGACTGGTTCACAAGAAGTCAGAAGTCTGTGAAGTTTCTGTTTGTGGATTGTCCACGACAAGTTCATCAGAACAAGTGAAGATTTGGAGAGAGGTTTTGCTACATGCCCAGCTGTAGTTGAATTCACAAGTTCAGCCTAGAGCTTGTCTGATGCAGGCTAGATGTGGCTCTGGGCAGCCTGGTCTAGTGCTTGGCAACCCTGCCCATGGCAGGGGAGTTGAAACTAGATTATCTTTGAGGTCCTTTTCAGCTCAGGCCATTCTATGAGTCTATGATTCTATGATACCGTAAGGAGCCGTAAAGGATCCAGGGAACGTAAGGAGGATCCGGGGAACTATAGGCCTTTTAGCCTGAGCTCAGTACTGGGGAAAGTAATGGAGCAAATCATCTTGAGTGAGATCACGTGCCATATGCGTGGTGTCCAGGGGATCAGGCCCAGCCAGCATGGGTTCATAAAAGGCAGGTCGTGCTTGGCCAACCTCATTTCCTTCTATGGCTGGGTGACCAGACTGGTAGATGAAGGAAAGGCTGTTGATGTAGTCTACCTAGACTTCACCAAAGCCTTTGACACGGTCTCTCACAGGCTTCTTCTGGGGAAACTGGCTGCCCGTGCCCTGGACAGGTACACACTCCTTTGGGTAAGAAACTGGCTAGAGGGCCGTGCCCAACGGGTGGTGGTTAATGGAGTGAAGTCCAGCTGGCGACCTGTTTCAAGTGGTGTCCCCCAGGGGTCAGTACTGGGGCCTATCTTGTTTAATATCTTTATTGATTACCTAAATGAGGGGATTGAGTGTACGCTCAGTAAATTTGCAGATGACACCAAGTTGGGGGGTGGTGTGGATCTGCCTGAAAGTAGAGAGGCCCTTCAGAGGGATTTAGATAAGCTGGATTGCTGGGCTGAGGTGAATGGGATGAGGTTCAACAAGGCCAAGTGCCAGGTCCTGCACTTCAGCCACAACAACCCCATGCAGCGTTATATGCTTGGGGACGAGTGGCTGGATGATTGTGAAGAGGAAAGGGACCTGGGGGTGTTGGTTGATGCTCAGCTGAACATGAGCCAACAGTGTGTCCAGGTGACCAAGAGGTTCAACGGCATCCTGGCCTGCTTTAGAAATAGTGTGGCCAGCAGGAGCAGGGAGGTGGTGGAGTCGCAGTGTTCAAGAGGCGTGTGGATGAGGAGCTGTGAGATATGGTCTGGTAGCTTGTGGTAGCAGTGGTAATGTGAAGATGGTTGGCCTAGATGATCTTACAGGTCATTTCCAACCTTGTGATTCTAAAAAAAAAAAAAAAAAAAGGATACATAGAAATACACTATATGACATCTTATTTTGGCTTCGGCTATTTTAGGGAGAAGTTGAACTGCTCTACAGTGTAAAACAGTTTGTTTCTTCATTCAAGCTGGACTGAAGAACCTATATTTTGTGGGATTTAGTGGGCTCTATCAGTTACTGCATCTATTATTTTTGTGTTTTTGAAGAATATGTATAACCTGTTTCTTTTTTTTCCTCCCATTCTTTGTTAACAAAAAGAAC